TATACATATTCATTTTTTAAAAAATAAAAATAAAAATAAATTAAATAATATAATCTATTCTAATTCCTTCAAATTGGAGGGATTGAAAATAGATGAGGGAAGGGTGCTCCCTCTCCCTCCATCTTCCTCCACTCCATTTAAATTATTTATCCAAACAGAAAAAGATGCTCTCTCCCCCTCACTCGCCTCTCATTCCCCTCTAACTTCCTTAATCCAAACTAAGTGTAAGTGTTTGGGTGTAGTTGGTCAGGAGTTCAACTCCCACCAATGATTTGAAAAAAAATCCCTCTCCTCCAAATTTCCCCATGTTCAAAAAAAAAAAAAAAATTACACCATTTTGTAATAAATTTTTATATGAAAATGTAAAAATAAGATACTATTTTTAATACTAATATCATTTACTTCATTCATTGTTATTTTTTTATTTTCTTTCTAAATTAAAATTTTAAGAATAATTCATATACTTATCTATATTACTCTTAAAAAAAATTAAAAGATAAAGTAAGATTTTTTTTTGTAATAAAATAATAAATCCAAATAAATAGATAATAATAACATTAAAGTAAAAAAAATATTTATCTACTCTAAAAAAATAACAATTAATTTAAGACAAATTTCAAATCAAAGAACAATAGTTATTCTTGAATAAAGGGAATAGAAAATTTTAATTGAGTAATTAATAAATTTAAAATCCACTTTTTTTTTCTTAAATGCATAAGTTAGAGAAATCCTTAAATTATAAAATTTCATAAAAAAATTATACTAATTTTAACATAAGCTAAAATAAGTATTTACTTTTTAATTGTAATCGATTATTGGACCAGAAAGGGGACATTCCCACTTTTTTTATTGGGAAATGCTTTCCAAAAAATTATGGTTGATTATATTATTTATAAGCACACTTTTATTTCTTCAAAACAAATTTTATCAATTTACAACCATTAGATTTTTGTTGGAATTTTTACTAGAAAATTACAAATCTTAGACCAAACCAAGCCATATTATGCATGCGGCTTCCTTGGAAATACCTTCCTGGAAAGAGGATACCAATCAGACCCTTATATTAGTCAATAAGAGACAGCAACTTAAGGTAAACTGATGGAATTCTATTACGCTTCTGTCATGTTTTCTAAAGCTATTTACTCAAGCATCTTATTTTAGTATTGTCTGAAGACGGAGTTCTACGCGACAGTGACTTGTTTTGTAATGACTTTGCTTGGGAGGTGTTTACATCATAAATTGTAGAATTTTAAGTTAATGCCACGTGTAAAATTTTTATTGGCTGGAGGAGTTTAAGCCATGTCAAATTCGGATTCTGAGCCCCATGACAGATCAGCACATGAGTTGGCAAGATAAGAGAAGTAAAGATAATGTTTTATGGAGTAATTATCTTCTTGAAACAGAAAGAGATAATAGCAGCTGGAAAATAGGAGAGGATCACATTTAAAAGGGGATTTTATCTGATAAAGTCCAGATGGCAAAATCTAAAAGGAGTTTAAACTAGGTCAAGAGATGAGGTGTCCCACTACTCCAACAAACTACCTATGGTTGAGTAACTGCCGGCACAAGAGGAACAAAAAGGGAACTTCAGCACAGAAGGAAGACACGGCCAGCCCTACTCAAACAATTGCAACTTTTCATACTTTGATTTTCTCTGCACATGCTTCCAGATTTCGGTTTTTCAGCACAGATTTCGTATTTCAGCACAGATTCCATTAGAATTAGGTTGTTTTTCCTCATTCCAATAGACAAATTTATTCCTATATTCAGTTAAAACAATTTTTCTTCATGCAATGAACTTCAATCCTTCAAGTTTATGCAAGGTATTGTTTTCTTTTCATTTGAAATTAATTTAATGTTTATGTTAAGTAGCATTGTTTCAATGATTACTTATGAGGCCTTCATGCTTCTTTCCAAATTCAAGTTTCTTCAATTTATTCACTGTTCACGCAATTTATTCACTGTTCATGTTTAATTTCAGTGCTAATTAGGTTTAAGTTTCCAGATCTGCAGCAATTTAATTTCCGAATCTGTCAATAGATTGCACTTTTAATTTTACCACAAGCATGTTTAATTTAATTTGGGAACACTTCTTTCTCGCAAGTTTATTTTAATTGCAAGTAATTTAAAATAATTTGGATTTGTTAATTGTAAATCACGGTAGTGTTTAAGTCTTTGGAGTTGTCCAAGGCAAATTTCGTAACCCATTCTGCAGGAAGGTATCCCTCCCTCTTGCAAATCGTCTGAAGGCGCAAATTTCATTTTAATCCAACGTTCTTCCCGCCATCTGCGAAGAGGTCGACCGTGAGAAAAGAGAAGGTCGTTGGGAAAGTCCTCCTTTCTTACTTTCAGCAAAATAAGTGGCACGCCCACATCAGATTTCACACGTGCGAGGCCACTAGAGGATTTTTGAGGAAACAGGAGGATACGTTGTTCTTTCTCCAGCAGGTGTAGTAGTCCAAGCAGTGGTCTTTAAACGTTCCCTTCATACCAGGTTCTCGTTTAGTGCTTGCTTGCAGGTGATCCTGTTTCCGGCTGCTGCAGTCAATGGTTTTGACGCAGAGTTCAAGATTTTAAATGTCACTACTTAAAGCTAAATTGCCAATGAGTGCCTTGGTACTGGACCCTTCCAGTTGACTTCAGAAAGTTTCTTTTGATCTGTTCGACTCCTTTAGTTCTAATGAAATTTCAGTATATTGTTGGGAGAGGAAAAAAAAACAAAAACAAAAAGGACAAAAAAAAAACTAAACTAGATTAGTTAACCCTGCCTAGGAGATTCGAAGACAATTGTTAATATCCAAGATGAAGTGATGAACAAAAAGGCCTCTAGATCCTGTTTCAATCAAACAATCAAGGACTCATGGCCTGCAACGAGATTCCTTGACATTCCAATGCAAGATTATGACCCACCAAATTCACATCAAAGCATTACGTACGTCCATCCATCCACCCACCCACCAACTAACTGATAACTTATATTTCTGTTCCACCTTTAGCAAACATAACCAAAGTGATATCAAATCCATCATAATTCTATTCCACACAAAATCAAAAGATGGGGACAAGTAAAGAGTAACCCAGGAAGAAACCTTTATTCTGGTAACATTACAATTTCTATCCTTTGTACAAAGAAAAAAGCAAACAACCTAACCAAGCTGATCCCATGACAGGGCTGCGCATCTACACAAATATATATATATATATATATATATGTTGAAAAAGTGTAGTGCAGTCCTAATGGTAGCAGATTGCACTACATTAACCATTAGATGGGAGTTCAGCCTTCTAATATAAAAGCCCTACCCCCATCTAATGGGTCCTATTTTACAATCCAGTGCACTTTAAATTATAGAACAAAGTTACCTATATATATAAGCAACCTACAACCACACACACATAGAGGAATACAAGGACTTAAAGCTACAAACATGGTGAAGATTCTACACAGCAGCAGATAGCTAGCGAGAAACAGTGTCAAATCTCACACGTCCTAAGGAGAAGAAGGGCTTTTTGGTCCAACCACGCTTGCTTTGTTGTATGCATCAGATGTCGACCTTCTTCGAAAACGGTATGACTCTCTTGCCCCTGAACATTAACCATATTTTTATGTTATTACATCACTAATGTAAGTAAAATCCTCTCCAAGTCATGCTTCAATTATGTCACAAACAAATTAAGTCACGTTACCAACTTACAGTAACATGTGGGAAATGAGCTACAAAAGATACCGTACATTTCAAAATGACATGACTCTATTTGAAATAAAGGCACAAACATAAAAATTTTCCAAGATCTGAATTAGATCTTTTTTTCTTGGGTTAAAGCCAACTGTAGTCCCTCTACTCTTAATTTTTATTCATGTTCATCCCTCTACTAAGAATTGGTTCATTGTCATCCTTGTACTCTCCAAAAGCACTAAATGTCAGCCCTGTACTCCCCTTATTTTGTCTGTTGTCATCCTTTTATTGACGGCGTTGTTTTAGCCGTTTATTTGGACCGTTTAATCCACAAACGGTCAATGATCAACTGTTGAAGCATTTCTTGAAATTTATTATTCTAAGTGTGTTGCCAGCTAGGAGAGAAGCAAGGGGGTTGGGATTCAGAGAGTGAACATGCATGTTGCTATTTTCAAATGAGATTTTGCTTAATCTAAAGACAAATGACGTTCTAAGTGTTGTATCTTGTGTTTGAATTGCAATATATAAATCATAGACATAAAAATATTTTGAAATTTTTTAATTTTTGCATGTTAAAAGTTTATTTATTATATATT